CTTCATTTTGCCTAGTCACAACGACCCCGTAATACCTCACAACCACGTATCAAAAACATTTACTCTATGACTTTACAAGTTATCCCCCGAAATCCTCCCAAGCTCTTTCTTGCTACTAACTGTCAGCAGAAGGGTGAGCTTACTTAAAGCTATTCTGTTGCATTACAAGTATTCACCGAAACTTGCGTATGGTCGTTCTCCATGCCAGTCCTTTTGAAAAATGAGAAAAGTTATTAAAAGCTGACGCAGCTCTAAGAGCACTGAACAAAAGTAGGTCACAAGATCGGATTTTATACTGACCGGAAGAATTACTGAAATATTGTGACGAAAGAATTTCAGGTTGGTAGTGCCTACTCGAGCTCGAGCATCGCGCGATCGTAGCCGACGTGGCGCGTCACGTCGATTACTGAAAGCGCCAACTCGAGTAGCAGTCAGTGCACCGGTAACGCCCATCAATTATCGTTTGAAACAAGCGACGGATGAGGATGATGGAGTGGGCATATGTGCCAGCGCCAAGAAGGTCCTCATTCATTGACCGTCCATTTATTATGTCATCTTAGCAGAACCAGATTTTTGTTCATAAAAAAAGAAAAACGCTAACGGCAAAAAAAAAATATTATTATGTAGATTTTTGAAATTTCAGTTCTCTCCCTTCGCAACGTCCATTTTAGATATTACTTTATTCAGCCTCATTTCGTCGTATTTATTCTCGTCATCGACACGACTTACAGTTTCCCCATTCTTCTCTAAGTGGAAACTGTTATTCGCGAATGATTCCATATCGGCTTCCATAAATAAGTCACTTGCTCCTGCGGTAGCTTTCCTTTCGTTTTTTATGCGTCTTATGCTGCACCGTTGCACAAAACGCATATTGTCGAGGCCCTGTTTGTGTGTGTGTGTGTGTGTGTTTGCTTGTACGTTTGTTTATATGTTTGCGTGTATGTATGTGTGTATGTGTGTGTGTGTTTGTGTGTGTGTTCCGGATGCATTTTATCCGCGGGTTTCAATTCGGGAACCAGAGAAACTGGGAAGCTGAAATTTTAGTAGGATATTCCCCGCCCAAGTGCTCCCCTCGCAAACCTAAATTCGGTCTCTACTGTATTTTCAGTACCGAATACGATCCCGCGAAAATTTATTATCTCGAGAACCACGAAAGCTGAGAAGTTGAAATGTTAAATTAGTATTCTCTGCCCGCCTACGACCCAGCCAATTTAAACTAAGCCCTCCTGCACGCCCGGATATCACATAAGGCCCCGCGAAAGTTTTGAATATCAAAATTGCTATTTGGGGGGACCACTAAGCCAGGGGGCCGAAAATTTAGGGTAATGTGCTCTGCATATATGCGTCACCGCAAATTCAAATTCCGGTCTTCCTGTTCGCTTGGTACCGTATATCCCTATGGAAGTTCCAGCAGGGAAAAGTACAATCTCGGGGACCAAGAAAGCTAGGCGAATGAAATTTTAGGGTAATATCCCCTGTCTATGTATATATTCACAGATCCAAATTCAGCTTTCACGTAAACTCGGGTCTCACGTACGGCCTCGTGAAAGTTTTGGCAGGAAAGATTATTATCTCGGGAGCAAGAAGAGTTGGGAGGCGGGAACTTCAGGAGGATGTTTTCTGCTTATGCAGGAGCCTTATAAACTCAAACTTTGCTCCCAAGTGTGATGAGATTTCGTGTACGATTGTGTAACGAGATTTCGCGTTGAAAGTTTTGGCGCGACCTAGGAAATTGAGGGATTAGGAGATCGAAATTTCGGAAAGATTTGAGACATTTGACGGTGAAAGAAACTTTTTTTTTCATCAAATTCGCCTTCCACGTACGTTTGCGTCTCATGCACTTTGTTCGTAGCTTAGCAATCAAAAAGCATATCGACTGTTTTTTCACAGGCCAAGTATCGAACATTTCAGACCCTTAGGAGGCAAACGTATACTGGTCGAAACCGCGCAAAACGTATGATCGCAGCGGCTGCCCCGGTACGCGCCGCTGTTTTAAAATTCTATGCGTACCAACCACTCAGTGGTCCTGTACGTCTTCTGCTGTCTCTCACTATAGCTACGTAACCTGTCCAGCTGTTCTTACTGACGTAGATTATCTTGATTAGGCTGTTTACGTAAGGCCGAAACAATAATATTTCATTGGATAAACTGCAGCTTGTTGGCACCTAGATTTTCTCTTAGTAATGCAAGCGCTTCTATGTTTCATTTTCACAAAGCAGAATTGCAACGCAGTGAATGTGAAATGTGTATTTTTCACTATCAGTGCTATGTCAATGTTGTCTAAAAACGTCTCATAATTCAAGTAAGACTCTTCACCGTACTTTTTTTTTACCCAGCTTCATGCTTAGTTCTTTATTCAGACGTAACACTTGTTTAGGCAGGTATAGCTGTCCACAAGCTCAATGATCTGATTCTTTAATCTCAAATCAAATCGAAAATTACATTCATTTGGTTTTTCTTCCAAGGACTGAGAATCCAGTTTCCCTCGCTTTTGCTACGAAACTCCTTCTAACGGGATCTGCAACGACTTTAGATTTTCTTGATGAATGCCCAGCCATCTACAAAAACAGTTACTTGAAGTATTTCACCGTCAATACGGATTTTTCCTGTTGTTTAATCGTTCCGGAACAAGTTTTCAAAAGAACAGATATCGTCTCGCTTCATGCCTCTGCAGTACTTATTTCTGTGGATTTCTGTATTATATCCAGCGGTCTTTTGTAAATCGCATTTGCGCCAATTCGATCCGTTGTTCCGAAAGAGCTTGCAGTACAGCACTGCACTTCGCGAAAAACAAAAAATGTGAAGAAATTTTATATCTTCTGCATTACGCTACAAACTGTTTTACCGCAAAATTGTTTTCGATAGTGCAACTTCCCTACCTCTGTTCGCTTTTTGAAATATTCGTCGCAGATTACTTTGAGCATAAATTACGCTCATAAAATTGCCGCGTATATGTGACAAGAGACATGATAACCGGTGCTTTCTTCATAATTCAAATTAATTTTAAACCTGCACTTGCCGAGCTCATGCTGGATTACTAATCGGGCATATTTCAGGGCTTACAGAGCAAGCTTGATTATTCTGCAGTGAAGCTGAAGAAGGCAGAAACTAAATCGCATTATCCGGAATTAATGCTTATACGAGTGAAAGGTAGCGCTTCTATTTCTTCTTTCGCCCTAGTTTTCCTAGAGATGCGGCACCTCTTGAGTTGGAAGCACCCATCCGCTTAAAAGTTTTGCCTATCTTTATGCTGGCTTTTTCCAGTTTTAATGCTTGCGTTTTATGTGAGTATTCAAATTTGACTAAGTAAAGTTTTAGTCAAAACCCCCTCCTTATTTCGTTCTTAATGTAAGGTGGAGGCACTCGAGAAGTAGGCCAAGTGGTAACAAATACCAACAGCAGCCACCCACTGGCGAGGCTGTCGATGACTCCATCTTCTGAGGGTTGCTTACAAGCAAGCAAATTCGAATGTGCACAGAACACAAGCATCAAACGTTTGACTCCCTGGCCAGTATGAATTTATCATCTAGACGAATAGTAGAAAGGTGGTCAACTGCGGTTTTATTACTTTAATATTACTGAAATGGCAAGGAATCTGGATGAAAAGGAAGAGAAGTGACCAGCAAGATAGATGCAGATTCAACTGTGGGCGCTAGACGTCACAGATACAAAACTGGAAGTGGAGTGAAGACGAGAAAGGTCGATTCATTATAGCGATTTCACTTACACAAGCATATTTAAGCTGGGTTTGACACCCTTCTGGCTAATTCTACTTCTGTTTTATTCAAATTTTCTCTTTCAAGTAGTGCTGAAATGCTAAGTTTAATTTCGCCAAACAACTAAATGTTTGAGGAGAGAAAGCGATC